TTGGCGGCCTGGTATGTTCCCTCTGTCTTTCCACCGTAACTATTCCCTGCATAGCCCCCACTATCACCATGCTTTTCTCTGCACAACCCCAATTCAAATTTCGTTAACGACACCACCACCACAACATTTTCCTGCACAACCCCAATTGAACAACTTAACCACTGTGGCCACCACGTTTGGCACCACCCCACACAACCCCCACCCACCTTCATCGTACTGCCACCACCCCTTCCTCCAAACCTACCATGTGTTGGACAAAATTTCCCATCCCACTTGATGTGTATGTGTTTGGATTTGGAAATAAGTTTTTCATCCATAAGTTATGCTTATCTTTTAAAACTTTGAGAATGGCAGATAAATAGTTTGATTCTTCATTGAAGTTGCTTGCATGATAAATGAAAAATATTTCCCATCTTTTCCCTTTATTGGTTATGCAAGCATAGATTTCGGGGGTAAAGCAGTTTGCTGGTTCGATATGCTTATCTTACAAATTTGGACTTACTGCAATTTGATGAATGTGAACACTTTGAACCTCCTGTAATGGAAAAACTGTAAATAACTTTTGAATTATGAAAGACATCAAAATAAATTAAGACATGGAAAGGGTTCTTCCATGCATGAAAGAACACTGTTGGAAAAGGTCATTTCACATACATGAATATTCTTTTCTTTTCCTTTACTTTTTTGTCAGGTGCACATGTGCATTGTACGTGAACTCTTTTTGAGGAGTTTTGTTAGTAATGCACAGTTGCACGTGAAAAAATTAGATCATAAAATTTTGATTATATTTTTTAGAAATACGAAGTGTATGAAGATGGCGAAGCAAAATGCTATTGCTATATGCATTCAATGGCTTTTTGAATCCGATAAGATTTTCTGGTATTACAACACAAGACCAAGAAAATTCCTTAATATAATTTACTAATCTAAAACTATTCCACCACCACATGAATTCAAGAAGTGTGGTAACAAAACTAATTCTACTCATAATATATTAACTACTCCTAAAACACTAAAAGTCTACTAATAATAAACAATTGAATATTATAAGATTAGTTTAATCTCCAACACATATTAAGCTCTTCATTCCATGAAAGTTCCTTTTTTTTGGGCGATCATTATCACTTTGATGGGAACACCAATTCAATCGAACACAAACTAATTTTAGTTCCAATTCCAAAAATTGTTGCAAGGTAGACTGAGTATTTATGCAATGGCTATACCCAAATAGATGGAAAACAAAATAAAAAAATACCATATCAATAATAGGCATGTTCTAAGAGAAAAAAAAAAAGCTTACAGGTTGACGACACCAATCATCATCAACCCATCAATTTGCACAACCATAATATGTTTAACGTCAAGGGGATAGAGATGTAAGACCACTAATTTTAATGAATTTTGAAGAAATAAATTACTGCAACGATATAAGATCAAATACGTTAATAGTGTTACTGGAGAGATAAGAGTCTATCTACCTATATACTTCTAATAAAAGAGTTCAAAATATTTTAGAAGTCTAACATGTATGAAAGAAAGAAAAATAAATGGTTTTGACTCTTTACTCTTCTAATATTTTATTATATACCAATGAATAATGAATTTTCGATGGTTATATTTATCACCTAAAAAATAGCAAATTTTTTTCCCATGATATTAGAATTCTAGTTGAGTTTGTCAATTGAATGAAAAAAAAGAATGTACTAACAAGTCATAGCGATAGAGTTTTATCTAGCAAAAATTTTAGAAGTCATAGAGATAAAGTTTATGTAGCAAAAATTTTGGAATATTAGTGATAAAATTTATCTAGCAAAAAATTTGGAAGTCATAGAGATAAATTTATCTAGCTATTATTTTGTGGGCATAATTGTCTTTAATGTAATAATTAGGGGTGAAATAGAAAATCAAAATTTTTTCGCAGATACTGACATTTAGAAGTAGTATAGATTAAGCCTATTAAGGGCCCTAGCATAAATTAATAACCGTCCCTATTGTTGTGTATGGAGAATGGTCATTGTTATCTTTCATCCCTATAGTGAAGTCTATGGAGAATGGAATGATCATTGTTATCTTTGGTAAATAACCATCTCTTGTAACTTGGGAAAAGTGGATAACCAACAAAACCAGCCAAAGACAATCCATGACCTATGTTCTCTTTTCATAAATGGGTTCCTCCTACACATAAAAAACCCACAAAAAAATGAATGGTTAAACCTTCCAAAAAAAAAAAAAAGAGTGGTTAAAAATCTAAAATTCCAAGATTTTAAAAAATCCCACACACAAAAAATACAAAAGGAATAACAACACAAAAATAAATTGATTCTCAGGGCTAATAGAATGTAAGACTAAGTATCACAAAAACTAAGACATTGTTGACTGACCCAAAATACTTAACCACCCAAAGACAAGTTGAGGCTCACACTCTGCAACAAAGGATGAAAGGAGAAGAAAAATATGTAAAAAAAAGACCTGCCATAAAATGTTTCAAAAGCACATGTGAAATATTTTGTTGGACCAACTATTACAATCCTTCGGACAAACGATTCCAATCCCTGATTTGAATAAAAATACTTCCAATGGAAAAATCATGAAAAATCCGATTAAATTTAAAATCAGAAAAAACTATCAAAAAAAAAAAAGGAAGACGGAATAGTAAGGCGCATAATTGAAAATCAAATATTCCCAAGATAGCTTGTAATAGCTTGAGTTTTGTTCAAAGCAATCTTTACCAAGGATAGAAAAATTTAAGTTGTCCTCCTTCACATCAGGCATTGTGATTAGAGTTTGGGATGCATGTGATGCAAGAGTAAGAGTTATCTTTTTTCCTCCTCCACATCAAGCATTGTGATTAGAGTTTGGGATGTATAATTAGTTCTTTGTGATGCAAGAGTAAGCGTTGTCTTTTTGCCTCCTTCACATCAAGCACTATGATTAGAGTTTGGGACGTATAAATAGTTCTTTGTGATGCAAGAGTAAGAGTTGTCTTTTTTCCTCTTCATTTTTGAAGGCACACTCTGCTAAAACTGTATCACATACTGTAAGAAAAGAAAATTTCACATTGACACCAAATTAGTGCATTGTCTTTGCGTTTTATACCGCAGATCATTCTTCTGACCAAGTAAAATAGAAGAATGAAGTTAAATCAATGAACTACTGAGAAAAGGAACAAGAACATAACACATTTTCTTCCCAAAGTTAACAAATGAAAAGAACCACCTCAAGTATGAAGCCGAGTAATGAAATTAGACAAATAAGTTATATTAAAAATATTGAATTTTGACCTTTTCTTGTTAACTTTAAAGGAATTCCTAACGGTTTTGGTTTCGGATAATAAGATCACAAGAGGTTAGGTGTAGGTTTTTACATGGCAGGAAGGTAATATGTTATTGTGTCAAACCAATAAGAAGTATTTGATACTTTTTCTTCAGAAGAAAATATTCAAAAGACCCAAGCAGAAGTGTTTTCTTGAAGTTCTTTGTATTTTCTTGGTCCTCAGCAGGGTATGCTCCCACCAGTAGAGCATAAAATGTCACCCTGTTTGTCCACACAACGGCCAATGGAATAAACAAACCAAAATCAAACAAAACCTACCAATTGGCAAGGATTCATCTCTCTGCTCCACATACATTCACATTCACATACACATACACATACACATACACATAGAGAGACTAAAAGAAGTTGAGCACATTGTTTCAACATTGATGTTATTTCCCTGCTAGTTGGCGTTTATACTACGACCTTACTATGAAGCTTTATCCAACAATTTTTGGACAACACTATCCCATATTTTCATAATCAAGTGCAAAGAGATAGTTGAAAAAATAAAATTAGGCCTTCATAAAGGCAAGCCAAAGAAAGGGGGAAGAGGGGACACATGACACAATAGCTACACCAGGCAATCATATGTGTAAATAACTTAAATGGAATAACATATTTACCTTACCATCATAATTCCCTTCGAGAAAGAACTTCTAGCAATTTATGCTAAAGTGCTTGTCGACTTAGGTCTTTAGTGCAGCAGAGTTAACTGCATTGGAGAAAGAAGCACCAAAATGCCATAACTTCCGTAACAACATTCATATTGACATTTTTTACATGAACAATGAATATACATGAAAACCAACAAGAAATAAAAACGAAGTCTAATACCTAAAATTGTAGACCATCAAACTCTATGTATCAACTATGAATCAAATCATACTTCAACTATTCTCAGTGGACTAAGCAATTTCCTTAACAACCTACATCCTATTCAATTAGAATGTATGGCCCTCGACCCGAGTTGTACCTCTTCTCAGTCTAAAATCCCAGAATTTCAACAACCAATTTTTTTTTTTTTTCTGGAATAAACACCCAATTCCAAATACAATACTTTTTAGATGAACAACAATGAAAACATAGTACAACCAGTGAGAATTGTGCATGACCGGATAGAAGTCATAGCACAAAAATACTACAGTCCGGTTTGGCCTAATTTTTAAGGTGCATTGATTAAGAATCTTCTTTAAACAAAATTTTCGTGGGGATAATTAATCAGGAACTAAATTTAACCCTCTTCTATCTAAGAACAAGCTTAAGTACCCTTGACTCCCCATTGATCATTTTCTGATTTGGTAATACCAAATTTCATTGCTAATGGAATCTTTTGGCGAGGAAGCTGCTTCAAAGCCTGAAAAATAAAACATGTGTCACATCTTTGATGATTAAAAAATTAGAACAAATAAAAAGCTAAAGGTGAAAATCTGCATTGGCCATATCTTAATGAAGTCTACTTTGCTCAAACCACATTGAACCTACTGTGCGAATTGAATCACTTCTTCCTACATAAATGCAGGGCAGATTTAACTTGGACTAAAAATAGTTATTGTTTTTCTTCATGTAGTTCTGTTATTATTAACTAATTGCAGTGACTGTTAATGTACTATAGAAAGTGGCACTTCTGAACAACTAAATTGATAGTTAGCCCTCCTTACTGCTACAAGTAAAAAATTCCAATGCTAAAGTTGTGCACTTCCAATCATGATCTCATTGTCATAATTTTCTCCATTCATATCAGCAGTGTCAAAGATGGTGATACCCTTATTAAATGCTTCTAATATAATGGAACATCCAACCTCATGGGAAAGAGGGGCATTGTAAATTCCTAAAACTCCCCCGCATCCGAAGCCCAATTGCGAAACCTACAGCTTTTTCGGATGAACAAATGCATGCCATGGAAGTTACCCAATCCAGTATTTGGAGTTTGATATAATATTTGATGTCATTGAACTTGCGAACATGATTTGTTCATTAAGCTTGTGAGCTGGACCGTGAACTCAATCATACGAGTCTGCGTATACCTGGTACTTCCCATATCCCGCAATGACGTGAGTGAGTTCCGTGCAATGAACATCTTTTTTTTAATCATTTTGTCCGATGAATAAAAACAATTGTACCAAGCATTACCCAGACTGAACTTCCACTAATGTGGCAGCTACTGTAATATTTTTATACAGTTGGAAAAAACTAAATTGAATGCAAGCGCAAATTACCAGAAAAGCAATATTTAAATACAGTTTGTAAAAGATTGAATTGAAGATCAAACAACTGGATTGAATGTCAGGCTATTCAAGTTTCATGTTCTTAGCTTAATACTTGAATTACGAACGAGGAGAAACAGATGGAGCAATGCATCAATCTTTGCATTGATTCTTAGATGCGTATTTGGTCAGATAAACAATTTGAACTCTACGAGATTATTAAAATTCTACAAGAAATAGTGTCCTCTTTTGTTTTATCTTTCTTGAAGATGCACCCCTATTTACTGTAAAGATGGGGACAGTTCAACTACTCTCTCAATTTCATGGACTCGAAATAGAAAACCCATATCTGCACATAAAAGAGTTTGAGGAATTATGTGAAACGTTTCAAGACAATTCAGAGCTAGCTAAAATGAAACTTTTTTTATTTTCTCTAAAGGATAAAGCTAAACAATGACTAAATTCTTTAAAAACTCTTTCAATACCTGATTGGCGGGCACTGTAAAATAAATTTTTCATAAAATTTTTCTGTAAAACCTGGTAAAAAAAAATAGTATTATTATTATTAAAAATCTTAATTTAAGGGGTAAAATAATAATTAATTGTTAAATTATGGTTCAAAAATATAAATTTAAAAAAAATTAAAGTTATACTATATATATAAGTGGAAGACAAAAGTCTTCCATTTTTCTTCTTCTAGTGTGCTGCTGAGAGAGTGAGAGAGAGAAATGTGAGTATTGTTTTATTTTTTCTCTTTTATTCATTCTCAGATCTACGAAGATTGACCCGTTTAATCATTTCGGGCCAATAATTAAAGTTGCTCTACTCAGTGAGAGCTATGCAACCACACCAAATATCGTATTTTTTTCTGAAAGAATATCAAAGACTATAATCTAGGGCTAAAGTTTAAGAAGTTAAATCAGGCTTCCTCGGAGTTCCAGTACGTGGGCTCACGCTACGAGAGGTTGGGTTTCACCTATTTAGATTTAATTTCAACCTAAAATATGACATATGAAATGGGTAGGCTATGAGTGTATATCACATGTTAGGTCTTGACTAGTGTAACTAGTGAGTCTAATATAGGATTTATAATTAACTTTGTGACTAGAAAAAAATCCTGTTATGATTAACTTGGTGTAAGTTAATGTTAATGGTTTAAAGCATGTTCATTGTACATTAGCATTATTTTATGTTTTAAATGACATATCAAGTTTAATAAAATTATTAGCTTGTTATGTGATTATGAAATAATATGTATGTTAAATTATTATTTAGCATATAATTATTATGGTGGACTTATGCTTATGTTTATAGAATTGATAAACATGCTGCTATGTTGAAAATGTCATTATATTGCATTCTTTATGTAATGGACATTGTAAATGGTACCAAAGGCAATTGCACATTGAAATGTCATTATGCATGAGTTACATTACATTCATGGGCATTGACATGAGTGGGAGTGTGTGCATGGGTTGAAATCAATCACCATATAGGTGGTTGATTCTGGGCTCGAAAAAGTCGCACCAAGGTCCGGTTGAGTCACTTGAAAAATTAAATGGATAAACCTACCGGGGATAACAAGAAAGGTTAGATTCTCCCTCGGGTGCAAGACTCGCTTACTTGGTTTATACACTTTTCGACGGTGAAATTCCAGAAAAGTGTAACGGCTAAAACGGAGCTGCAGGTGGGATGTCCTGAGAATCTGTTGATGGTTGGTGTCCCATTGGTGTAATACCATAAATCATCTCCCCACAAAGACACAAGAAAATAAATTAATTAGTCATTGAGTATACATAACACTAATGACGGGGCTTGGAATGCCCGAATACATACGCATGACATTGCATGTGTTGTAGAAACTCAAGATGGGGCTCGGAGTTGGTATTATTTTCGTGAGTCTCATCTCATGGCATGATATGATTTATGACATTTGTTCATAATAGATATATTTGAATGATTGCATGAAATGATTGTTGTATGTGACATTTTATATGTATTTAGGTTGAGAGGTATTCTCTGTAGGAGTTACCCTATTAAGCGTTGGCTCACCCTTTATGGGAATATTTTTCAAGTATTGCACAAGCGTCCACCGAAGGCCAGGCCATGGACCCGCTTTGACGACAGAGCCGGTCTGTGGCTGTTCTTTTGACATTGTAGTCCCTTGTTTATAATTACTTTTGACCTTGTGTAATTTTTGTAACAAAAACTTATTTATACTTAAAAATGCATGTATAAGGGACTCTTTTGAGACATTTATTCTTTTATGAATGAATGTACGTAATGATGATGATTATGGTAGTATTTGATACTATACAATTGTGAATGGATGGATAGACCCGGTGTGGTCAATATTGTACAAGTTACATTTTTGGTAAAGCTTCTCGTACAAAAGAGACTATGCCCAAATTTTGTTAAGTTATGGATCTCGGTAAATGGGGCATAACGACGTGGTATTGAATTACATGGTATCCACGGATATTCTGCGGGTTGATCGGTGATCAATCGGGTAATTACAGACACAAGGATTTTGGGGCGTCACAGCTTGGTTTCAGAGCCTAGGTTCTCGATTTACCTAGGGTTTGCGAGGCATGAGTCTAGGCCATTGTATCCATTTTGCATTGCATGTTAAATGTATTATATGTTACATGCTATGTGTTATGAGATTATATGCATGATTAAATGTATATAGGAATGAGACACTATGGTTAGAAAACATAACCTTAGAGTCAAGAAGGGAAAGGATGTGTAAGCCTACTGTTTGGGCATCTGCTGGTAGATATATATTCTACTGTTTAATTTTTGATCCATAACTTTGGGATATTAAGTTATTGGTCTATTTCTATCTTATGTGTGTGTAGATGACAACTATAGGAAAGGGACGTCGGGGTGGACGGAACAACCTACCACCACCACCGGCTTTTGATCAGCAAGCCTTTATGGAGACTATGGGTACGATGACTGCTATTTTTTTGCAAGCTAGTGCGAATGTGGGCCAAGGAGGCTCAAATAACCTCCAGAAGTTTAGGTCCCACAACCCACCAATTTTTATAGGAGGAGGGGATCTGATGGTAGCTGACAATTGGTTCCAACAGGTGGACAAAATTTTAGAGGCAATGGAGATTGCATTCGACGCCGCTAAGATATGGTTGGCCATTTTCTAGTTTGAGGGAGAAGCCCATCAATAGTGGACATGGGCAAAGTCGATAGACATCGGGAAGATGACATGGGGAGAGTTTCAAGAGCTCTTCATGAAGAAGTATTTCCCACCAACTGTTCGGGAAGTCAAAGCCCAGGAATTTCTAAACTTGAAGTAAGGAGCGATGATGGTTATGCAGTACGAGGCCAAGTTCATAGAATTGGCATGTTTTGCGGATGACTACGTGGCCACGGATTTGGCCAAGGTACGAAGGTTTGAGAATGACCTAAAGCTATCCATCCGTGAGAAGATTGTTGGCCACAACTTGCACGACTTGGACTAGATGGTCGAGACAATCATGGCTATAGAGAGAGAGGTGGAAGACGCCAAGAGTATTCGAGAGGCCGAATCAAAGGACAAGAAGAAGGAGGGACATTCCTCCACTACTAGCTCGAGAAAGAGACAGAGGATTTCTACCCCACAGAGACAGGGTCGAGGCTATCAGGGCCAAGGCTAAGGCCATGGTCAATTTTCTCAAGGCGGGAGGAATTCTAGGGCCACACAACAAGGAGGCCCACAAACATGATACTATTGCCACCAGCCAGGCCACTTGAAGAGAGAGTGTCCTCAGAGGTAGGGATCTCAGAACTACGGGGCATCTCAGTCCCAGTCATCAGTGGGGCATCCACAGACCTACTTCATTCCTCCCTATCCCACCAAGGGCCAAGGAAATCAGTTTCAGTTTTAGGGTGCAGTACATGCCCCTACCACTTCACGAGCGGGGACTCTGCAGTCAGGCCAGATGGGCCAGGGCATGGGCCGAGGCCGGGGACAGGACTTTCAGGCTGACACTTCAGGGGCCCAGGGGCGAGTCTTTGTAATCACACCGCATACTTTACCGATAGATCAATCGATAATTCAGGGTACAATTCTTCTCTATAGATTATGGACTAGAGTATTATTTGATTCTGGTGCATCACATTCTTTTATTGCTACATCATGCCTACGAGACTTAGACTTAGAGGCCGAGACTCTGAAGGATCCTATGTATGTGAGTTCACCCCTAGGAGACAGAGTTTGCGTTGACAAGATATGTTGAGGTTGTGAGTTGGAGATCGAAAGAACCCAGCTTACCGTTGATCTTAGGGTCATCGAGATGAAGGAGTTCGATGACATACTTGGGATGGATTGGTTGGCGGCACATAAGGTCGTCATTGATTGCCAGTGCAAGAGGGTTACGACTTACACTTCAGACGGGGTTTGTTTCAAGTTTCAAGGGGAGAAGCACAATGCTTTATCTCATGCCGTATATGACTCTCGATGGCACATACAGTTGATAGATTGGCTTGCTAGCCTTACACTGGAGGACAAGGTAAGACATGAGTTGGGTCTACCTCGAGTCGTGTGTGACTATGCAGATGTCTTTCCAGATGAGTTATCGGGATTGCCACTGCATCGGGATGTAGACTTCACCATAGAGTTACTACCCGGTGCATCCCCTATTTCTATGACACCGCATAGG